AATTTGTGCTGTCTGCTATTTTTGTTGTAGGAAGATGACTACTCATAACTTTCTTGTCCAAATATTGATAATATTTGATGTTGATCTATATTGAACTAATATGAACAATTTGAAATAAATATCATTCACCTAAATGTATTATAAACATACAATTGACGCTTGCAATTTATTAATTGCACGTTTAATTGCTATGAGAACTGCATGTAGAGTCGTAAGTTCAGACAGACGCTAACGTAAACAAACAAGATGGCCGCCAAACCTGGCGACGCTACGCCATTACTCAATCGCTACAATTAATCAAAAAAATGCATCAAACTTGACCAGAAGACTTGCTATCGAAATGATCGACATCCAATAATGTTTCGTTACAATAATTAACACTAAACTTTAAATAACGTTAAACTGAAATATGTTTGTAGACGTTTTTGCGAACGATTTGAAGAACGATCGAATATAATTGCGGTGTCAGCGGAAGAGAAGAGAAATACTAGTAGCGGTTGCAGAAATCAGCGAGTCCCTCGGTAAACGTTAAAACGTGACTCTGGCTGGCTGGGTCAGAAATTCTGCCAATCCTCGACGTCCGTTTCGACTAATTCGATTAGACGATTAACCGCGTGCCGCGTTCGGTTCAGTTTGATTAGACCCGTCCCAAACGCGATGTATGTCGTAACGAACTCGTCGACGCAGTGCACGATGTATAAATGAAAATTACGCAAATGCGTCGGCAGAGTTTATCGAAGCTTTCGATGGTAATTTCTAAGACATCTTTCTGTGTTGGTTCAACTGAACAATTATAACTATTTGACAATTATATAACAACGTTTGTTATTATTGCTTTTTGGACATAATCGGGTTATTGGGTTTTTGGTTATTGTATATTTGGAGAAATTGTTAAAATTTTCAAAATTAAAAATTTCAAAATTCAACGATCCACATTTCCCTAGACTCAAAATTCCAAATTTCCTACGCCTCAAAATTAAAAAATTCAAGGGTTCAAATTTCCCTAGCCTCAAAATTAAAAAATTTAAGGTTCCAAATTTCCCTAGCCTCAAAATTCCAAATTTCCTACGCTTCAAAATTCAAAAATTCAATAGTCCAAATTTCCCTAGTCCCAAAACTCCCTAGACCCATAATTCCAAGGTTCTTATATCTAAAAATTCCAAAACTCAACGAGCCAAATTTCCCTAGTTCCAAAATTGCAAAATTCCTACGTCTCAAAATTCAAAATTCAAAGGACCAAATCTCCCTAGTCCCAAAATTAACAATTCCAAAATTCAAGGGTTCCAATCTTCCTAGTCCTAAAATTGAAAATTCCAAAATTCAAGGGTTCCAATCTTCCTAGTCCTAAAATTAAAAATTCCAAAATTCAAGGCTTCCAATCTCCCTAGATCCAAAATTAACAATTCCAAAATTCAAGGGTTCCACTCTCCCTAGTTCCAAAATTCCAAATTCCAAAATTCAAGAGTTCCAATCTCCCTAGTCCCAAAATTCCAAATTCCAAAATTTAGAGGTTCCAATCTCCCTAGTCCCAAAATCAAAAATTCCAAAATTCATGGGTTCCAACCTCCCTACTCCCAAAACTAAAAATTCCAAAATTCAAGGGTTCCAATCTCCCTAGTCCCAAAATTCCAAATTCCAAAATTCAAAGGTTCCAATCTCCTTAGTCCCAAAATAAAAAATTCCAAAATTCAGGGGTTCCACTCTCCCTAGTTCCAAAATTGAAAATTCCTAAATTCAAGGGTTCCAATCTGCCTAGTCCCAAAATTCCAAATTCCAAAATTCAAAGGTTCCAATCTCCCTATTCCCAAAATTAAAAATTCCAAAATTCAAGGGTTCCAATCTCCCTAGTTCCAAAATTAAAAATTCCAAAACTCCTCCATTCCAAATCTCCCAAGTCCCAAAATTCAAATCTCCAACATTCCAAAATCCCCACCTCCCAAAATTAAATCTCCAACATCCCAAATCTCATCCAATCCACCCCCAAAATTCTTTAACATAACCTCAAAAATACCAAAACCCCCAAATTCTAACCTCAAATCAACACAACACCATCACAAAAAACATCCCAAAAGCGAACTAAATCAAAAAGAGAACAAAAAGAGAACAAAAAGAAAAGAAGTAAATGTTAAAATAAAAGTATCGAACATTCGATAAGAGCGTGTGTAATTATTTTAATTACACCCGAGCGTGTTATTTTTCCAGGTACCGTAGCTCAGCAAACTCTGGAATTCTCTGCTTGCACACTCTGTTCATTGTTGCTAGCAGATGCTGCTGCAGGCGACATTTTACTCGGAAATGAGAGAGAATGAAAAAGTTCCCTCACGAGAGTACTTCTTCCCTTTTGCTGTAACAGTGTCGAATGCATACAACGCAGTCCTCGATGAACCGTGGGACTCGGTCACAGTTAGAACATTGTTGCTGCACCTTGCACAGAGATGCAAAAAAGCATTCGTACCGTCCGGGAAAAAAAGCATTAACATACGCATTCTTAATGTATTCAATTCTACTTTGCACAGAATGCGTTTCGAACACGCTGTGCAAGTTCCTGCCGGCATAAGTAATTTATGCCAATGTATGTAATTATTACGCTTTACGTGGAAATTGAATTATGAAAAGTTCCTTTCCTTTCTTGCTTCCGGGATGCAGTTACTGTAACTTCTTTTATTCGTATGCTAAGACGGGTTAATATTGTTAATTTATGTGCTGAAGAATTTCGGTTTCTTTGGGGAGATTTAAGTTGGGTTTTTGTGGTAATTTGTGGGGAGGTGCAAAGTGGGGATTCGTTAGGTTTTGGGATATTTGTTTGATTTTATTTGATTAGGTTATGTTGGTTTATTTTGGGGTTTGATTTTATTTGACTCGAGTGGGTTAGGCTAGCTTGGGTGGGGGAGATTTAGGTTAGGTAGTGAGTTCCATTCACTCAAATTTCCAAGAATTCTAAAATTCCACTCACTCAACTTTCCAAAAATTCTAAAATTCCACTCATTCAAATTTCCAAAAATTCTAAAATTCCACCCACTCAAATTTCCAACAATTCTAAAATTCCACTCACTCAAATTTCCAAAAATTCTAAAATTCCACTTACTCAAATTTCCAAGAATTCTAAAATTCCACTCGCTCGAATTTCCAAAAATTCTAAAATTCCACTCACTCGAATTTCCAAGAATTCTAAAATTCCACTCACTCAAATTTCCAAAAGATTCATGGGGGAGATTTAGGTTAGGTAGTGAGTTCCATTCACTCAAATTTCCAAGAATTCTAAAATTCCACTCGCTCGAATTTCCAAAAATTCTAAAATTCCACTCACTCGAATTTCCAAGAATTCTAAAATTCCACTCACTCAAATTTCCAAACATTCTAAAATTCCACTCACTCAAATTTGCAAAAATTCTAAAATTCCACTTACTCAAATTTCCCAAAATTCTAAAATTCCATCCACTCAAACTTCCAAAAATTCTAAATTTCCACTCACTCAAATTTCCAAAAATTTTAAAATTCCACTCACTCAAATTTCCAAACATTCTAAAATTCCACTCACTCAAATTTGCAAAAATTCTAAAATTCCACTTACTCAAATTTCTAAGAACTCTAAAATTCCACTCCTCAAAATTTCCTAATCTCTAAAATTTCAAAGCTTGAGAGCTCTAAAATTCCAAAGTTCCACTCCTCAAAACTTGCAAAACCTTAAATTCCCTAATTTCTAATGTTCTAAACTTCCAACCTGCAAAATTTCAAAGTTCCACTTTCTCAAATTTCCAAAATCTCTAAAATTAGAAAATTCCAAAATTCCACTCCCTGAAACCCCCAAAACCCCTAAAATTAAATTTTCCCAAATTTCAAGCACCTCAAAATTCAATACCCTCAAAAAACCCCAAAGTTCCAAAATTCCTTCCCAAAATAAAAACACAAAAAATCTCCCAAATCCTAAAATCCCAAAATTCCAAAATTGCACTCAAAATATTTGTCAAACACTATAAAATAGAAGAACCATAATAAAAGAAGAATAAACGAGAGAACGAACAAAATGTAACGAGATAATTGCGAGAAGAATTAATCGAGTTAACGAAAGTTGACTGAACGCTGAAACCGGAAGAGAAAACTGCTAGTTGGCTTATCGGTCCCCCTCGAATCTAATTAATTAAGTGCCGTTCTTAATTAATTTAATTTCGATGGTGCTGTTCGTCCTGAAAATTAGTAGGAATTATACAAGCAGCGCCGCGTGGCATAAAATCGTCGAACTAATGATTTACCTGCGGGAACTTGTTGCGCATTTCGTGAGATGGCGCATCGTGGCACTTGTTAAACAAACATACGGTTAATCATTCTTGTACTGATTTATATACTTTGTTATTAAATCATGGTTTACGTACAGTATTGTCAAAAATTGCTGTTCTTTCAAATTTAGGAATAGTAGTTTCAATTTATTTTGTTATTAATTCTTTTTATTTTAGAGTTTGTCACTTTTAAAATGTTGAAGTGTGTAGTTTTTGTAGTTTATGGTTTAGACATTTTTGTTGGACTATATTCATTATTTAAAATAATATTTTTTCATATGTTTTTTGATGACATTTGACATTTTTTATTTTAAGTCTGATGAGAAATATATAATTATCCTATAATTATTAGTCAATGATTTTTTAACAGAAAACATTAAGTTTGTTACAAAATTAAATAGCAATGAGACTAATAATTATCAAACCATCTGAAAAACTAACTAAAAATTAAAAAAAAGTTAAGCAATTTTGTAAAAAATTATGAAGCAGTAACTCATGTTTTTAAAAATTAAAAAAAGTTAAAAAATTAAAATGTTGAGCATTAAACTACTAAATTAAATTTTCTATGAATTGAGAGACAGTTATATATATTTTACTCTGACGTTCAGATTTATTCTTGTAATCTGTACAAGCGTTTCCGACATCCTTTTGTCTCCTCAACTTCAGTTAATTCAGTAAAACCCAGAAATTCACAGTTAATAAATCATTAGTAATGATAAGATAAGAATGTTTGAAGCGGAGTACGTTATACCATGTGTTCGCATGCGAGCGGGCGAAGAAAGCATTCGCAGAGCGGCTAAGAAGTACCCTATAGTAAGAAAAATAGTGCACCTAACCTAAATTGTTAAGTTTCATACAAAATTTATAGAAAGATGTGATAGTATGATATAGAGATTGGTGCACGTGTACTACTATAAATTAGAGTTCGGTCTATGTGTAATAGTATAAATTAGAGTTCGGTCTATGTGTAATAGTATAAATTAGAGTTCGGTCTATGTGTAATAGTATAAATTAGAGTTCGGTCTATCTGTAATAGTATAAATTAGAGTTCGGTCTATGTGTAATAGTATAAATTAGAGTTCGGTCCACGACTATAAATTAGAGTTCGGTCCATGTGTACTACTATAAAATTGAGTTCGGTCGACGTGTACTACTATAAATTAGAGTTCGGTCCATGTGTACTACTATAAAATTGAGTTCGGTCGACGTGTACTACTATAAATTAGAGTTCGGTCCATGTGTACTACTATAAAATTGAGTTCGGTCGACGTGTACTACTATAAATTAGAGTTCGGTCCACGTGTAATACTATAAAATAGAGTTCCATCCACGTGTAATACTATAAATTAGTGTATAGGTCACGGGTACTACTATAAAATACAGTTCGGTCCACGTGTACTACTATAAAATAGAGTTCGGTTCACGTGTAATACTATAAAATAGAGTTCGGTCCACGTATACTACTATAAATTAGAGTTCGGTCCACGTGTAGTACTATAATTAGAGTTCGGTCTATGTGTAATAGTATAAATTAGAGTTCGGTCTATGTGTAATAGTATAAATTAGAGTTCGGTCTATGTGTAATAGTATAAATTAGAGTTCGGTCTATGTGTAATAGTATAAATTAGAGTTCGGTCTATGTGTAATAGTATAAATTAGAGTTCGGTCCACGAGTAATACTATAAAATAGAGTTCGGTCCACGTGTACTACTATAAATTAGAGTTCGGTCCACGTGTAATAGTAGAAATTAGAGTTCGGTTCACGTGTACTACTATAAAATAGAGTTCTGTCCTCGTGTACTACTATAAATTAGAGTTCGGTCCACGTGTACTACTATAAATTAGAGTTCGGTCCACGTGTACTACTATAAGTTAGAGTTCGGTCCACGTGTAATACTATAAATTAGAGTATGGTCCACGCGTACTACTATAAAATAGAGTTCGGTTCACGTGTACTACTATAAAATAGAGTTCGGTCGACGTGTACTACTATAAATTAGAGTTCGGTCCACGTGTACTACTATAAAATAGACTTCGGTCCACGTGTACTACTACAAATTAGAGTTCGGTCCTCGCATACTACTATAAATTAGAGTTCGGTCCACGTGTACTACTATAAAATATACTTCGGTCCACACATAATACTATAAAATATACTTCGCTCCACATCTAATACTATAAAATATAATTCGCTCCACACATAATACTATAAAATAGACTTCGGTCCCCATGTAGCTCTATAAAACAGACCTTGATCCAACCGGCCCCCGTCCCCGGAAATTAAGAAAGTTAAACGATTCCGAAAGCCCCTCCACATTATAACATTGGCCCAGCTACTTTGTTACCAAGATCGATTTTCAGTTAGAGCCGTTCGCCCCCCGTCACGTGATCACGTACTTCAACAATAACAAAGAGGATAGCAGAAAATCGGCGTACGAGCGTCTTCACAAGCACGATTTCGATCCGCGGAAGCCAAGATGCGATCGCACTAAGCCCAGCCTTTTCTGGCTGGAGATCTCTGAGGAGAACAAAGGTCACAAGGTCCCGATGACTACTAATCTCTGGTACGGTCGACCGAACAGGCTCCAAGTCGACGTCCCCGAGAAGAAATTCAATCGATCGAGCAGAATGGCAGAGTTCTACAGCCGGAAACTCCTCCTAATCGATGAGGACGAACGGAAAGTCGTGGTCTGTTAGGCAAGTTTCCATGGCTTCTTCGAGATCGATCGGAACCTTCCTTTCTTTTAGCGAATCAAATAATGCCGGAAGCTTTAGAGTTGCTCAGAGTTCGCCTCTGAATGAAGCATAAATTATTGTAATTTTATGGCAACCGTTGGTCTAATTTATATAAAAAAATTCTGTTGAACTGTTTGTTCAATATACATTTATAAAAAATAAACACAATAATAAACACTTTATTTAATATGCATGAAAATGTCTGTTAAATACTTTGTTCAACATATATAAAAAAATTGTCTAAATACTTCATTCAATACTTACAAAAAAATTTGTTAATCAGTTTCTTGAACATTTTCAAAAAAATTTGTCAAACAGTTAGTTAAATATTTACACAAAATTCTACGACAAACAGCATGCACCCTAAATCCAACCAGCCCTCCATAGAACCTAACCTCAAAAAATTGCAACAATGTCACAACATCAACAATAAATGAGCAAAGGCAAGTTCATTGTACAAAAACGACAATAGAAAGGTATCGATGAATTGATCGTAAGTATATTGCACACCCTTTGAAGGGAGTGTGTTCTCGGTTACGTAAAGTCACCGAGATTCGTATCGATACTTTCTGTGCGGGCTTTGAGTTTCGATGCCTTGCACGAGAGAAGGCAACTTACTGCAGCGTGATGCGGAAATATATACCGTGCATGCATCCGTGTATATAGCCGGCTCTTTTCATGGTGTTTCCACCCTCGTATTCGGAAGTAGCAATCCCGGTATCAACCACCGTTCAGTGGCTGGATATAGCGTCCCTACCGAATCAAATTCCAGGGAATACGGTCAACTCTGCGAGTATCTTCCGAGGATAGGGATGATATCGTTCGTGGGATTCGCGGGAAATATTTTATCTTTCGCTTTCGAGATTTTTGAGGTATGGTGAGAATAATGGGGGAATTAGATTGTGTAGAATTTTATTTGTGTTTAGCAAGTGATGCTTTCAAGATTTTCTGAGACAAAAATGTCTATTGAGGAAAAAATAATAGAATGATATAGGTGAGATGGATGTGGAGTTCAAATTGTTATGTGGGTATTTAATAAGCAAGTTGAGTGATGCTTTCAAGATTTTCTGAGACAAAAGTGTCTATTGAGGAAAAAATAATAGTATGATATAGGTGAAATGAATGTGGAGTTCAAATTGTTATTTGGGTATTTAATAAGCAAGTTGAGTGACGCTTTCAAGATTTTCAAAGACAAAAATGTTTACCGAGAAGAAAATAATAGTATGATATAGGTGAAATAGGTCTATTATTTAAATTGTTATTAAGACGTTTAATAAGCAGACGGATTTGTACTTGTGAGTCCGTATGCGCAAGCGCGATTGCGCGTCCGTGTGCGCATGCGTGATTGCGCTCTCGCGTCTGCGCATGCGTAATCCTCGCGCTCCGATTGATCCGTGTTTTTCCTTAATAATTCAAAAACGAAGCTTCAAACTCCATTTTCGCAAAGGGAAATGTTATTCAAAATCACGTCAGCTACCCCCATTTCTAGACTACTTCTGAAACATCCTGTATTTATAAATATTACTACAGGAAGTATAAAATAAAAATAAAGATAGTTTATTATATCATCACATTCACAATTAAGTTTCTAAATGCCCGTACCATTATTAAGGTATTATTTAGCATCGTTTGTTAACGCATAAAGCAATTTTGAAGGCCGTAAATAAAACGTACCCGATCGCATGGATCAATTGCGATTTAATCGGCGCGTTAATTTAAACGAGCCGGGATTATTTTTTTTACGAGCGGCGAGTAGCCTGATTAAAATCTGTGTGCACTGGAAATTATTGCAGAACGTTGCGGTGAAAATTCGATCAGCAATAATTACGACGGCGTGTACATACATACATCGAGCAGTATTATAGCCTACGGAACAGCGGTTAATCGAATTATATACCTTTGGCAACGTAAAGTAACGAAGCCGAAAGGGGTATCTAGAGTGTGACCTCATTAATACATTCCTCCCCGATTCTAAGAAGTTTAGCACATCTTGAGAAAGCGAATGAATTTCACTCGAATGCGTTTCTATAGATCGAAATTTTCGACTAAAAATATTTATTGGCTCAGAAATTTAAATATTAGGGAATTCATATTTTACATGTCGAACAACGTATTGCGTTTAATTTTTGCGTTTGCGATGCATCAGTTTGATTAGAAAATTACTCGGTTTGCGGCTCGATGTTTGCTTAAAGAAGTTAATTCATCCGGGAAACGAGGCCGTCGATGGCTCGATTTTTTTCGTTTTCACGTGAAACTACTCGCAGTTGACACAATGTTTGTGTAAACCGGGCCAGTCGATCGTTCCCGTCCACACTGTTTGATAGATCGGATAAATACCAGCTCATGCACGTAATAATTTTTCACCTTGAACAATCCTTCTGTTAAGACGATCTTTTATCAAGTTATACTTTCGGGCTCTTCTCTTCACTCGCATGGGATATGAGAACCGAATACTTCGTCATTTTAATGCGGGGGGACATGAAGACGTCATAGCTGAATTTTTTGAGTTTGAGAGCATTTAGATTGCTTTCAATATTTCCCTAATTTCCTAATTTCCCAAATCTCCAAATTTTCAAATTCTTAATTTGCCAATTTTTCAAATCATTAATTTTCTAATTTCCTAATTTTACAATTTTCCAACCTTCAAATTTTCCAATTTCCCAATTTCCCAATTTCCCAATTTCCTAATTTCCCAATTTCTCAAATTACCAATTTTCCAATTTCTCAAATTACCAATTTTCCATTTTTCCAATTTCTTAAATTACCAATTTCCCAATTTCCCAATTTCCCAATTTCCCAATTTCCCAATGTCCCAATTTCCCAATTTCCCAATTTCCCAATTTCCCAATTTCCCAATTTCCTAATTTCCCAATTTCTCAAATTACCAATTTTCCAATTTCTCAAATTACCAATTTTCCATTTTTCCAATTTCTTAATTTACCAATTTTCCAATTTTCCAATTTCTTAAATTACCAATTTTCCAATTTCTTAAATTCCCAATTTCCCAATTTCCCAATTTCCCAATTTCCCAATTTCCCAATTTCCCAATTTCCCAATTTCCCAATTTCCCAATTTCCCAATTTCCCAATTTCCCAATTTCCCAATTTCCCAATTTCCCAATTTCCCAATTTTCCAATGTCCCAATGTCCCAATGTCCCAATGTCCCAATTTCCCAATGTCTCAATTTCCCAATGTCCCAATTTCCCAATGACCCAATTTCCCAATGTCCCAATTTCCCAATGTCCCAATGTCCCAATGTCCCAATGTCCCAATGTCCCAATGTCCCAATTTCTCAAATTTTCCCAATTTTCCCAATTTTCCCAATTTTCCCAAATTTCCCAATATCCCAAGTTTCCCATATTTCCCAAATTTCCCTTCCAAATCCCCCAATTTTCCAACCCCCCTATTTCTCCAACCCCCAATCTCCATTTCCCGATCCATCACCCCAAATTATTTAAATTTTCCAATCGATCAACGTGCAGCAAGAAACCCGAAAGGGTTACCCATAGTGTGACCTCATTAATACGTTACTTCCCCCGCCCTGAACTCCGGCTAAGAAGTTGGGGACGCCTTCTTGGCGAGCGCAAATAAATTTCAGCGGCTAGCAGAGCCTCGAGAAGTTTCTTTGAAATTGTTTTATAGTACCCCATGGACTTTAATGTTTTCTCCCTCTCTACTTCGGGGTTACGCGTTCATCGTGCTCTCTGCTTTACGCTTCCTCGTTCTTCGACTTACAGTTACACACCGCTTCCGCTTTCGATATAAATTCAAACGATCGATCATCCGCAAATTGGATTTTATTGGAGATGAAGAAACCCATTAAGTATGATGGCTTGAAAATAATATATGAACTTGCGTGTACGTTACTGGTCAAAACTGCTCTTTGGATTTTTGCGCTACAATACCTTTTATATATTTTGTTTTGACTATTTTGTATTTTTGTGAGTGATTTTTTTTTTAATAAAATTAGCTTTTTAATGTGTGGATAGGTTAGTATTTGCATTGGAAAGTAACACTGTGTAATTATTTTTAGAGTGCAATTACTGTAATTATTTTTAGACTAGTACTTATTTTTAGTAGTTTAGAAATATTTTGTAAAAATTCATTTATTATTGGGAATATTACAAACATTTTTGTAAAAAATTTTGTCCGTCATTTTTAATCAAATTTACAATTTTTTTTTTACAAATTTCGAGGTGAAAAATCAAATGAATTATATTGATGATAAAAATCGTGTTTTTAACAAAATTTTTTTCTCTAAACTTAAGAGTTTATTGAAAGTTTCACTGTTTTTATTTAAATTAACCGCGACATTATTTTTTAATTAGCAAAATGATTATCGACCCATTTATAATTTGTTTCATTGTTCCTTCGACGATATTTCAGAAAGAAATTTGCCACAGATACGCCATCGTATGGTAACGAATAAATTTCGATACAGAGGGAAATTGTTTCCCGAACATTGCATTTTAATAACCTCGAGTGCTTTCATTTGCCGCTAAATTAAATTTCCTTCGATATTTCAAATAAAAATAGCACCATGATTGTGACGTTGAAATATTACTGTGTTATTTAATTGGATCACTCGTTTCAAAGAATTGCTTCCTATTCTACTCCTTCACATTTCTCGACACGTTAATACTTAAAATTTATTTTTAAACGTAGCCGAATATATTGTAGGATTATATTTGATGCAGTTAAAAATAAATAAATGTAACATATTTATTGTATTATGAAATTGAAATGTTGGTGATTAAAACTAATATTTTGTTAGGTCTATAAATGTATTGTTGTAGATGAAATAAAAGGGGTTTGTGCTGTATGAGATTATAGTTACACGCACCATTTTCCAATTTCCCAGTTTTCCAATTTCCCAATTTTTCAATTTTTCAATTTTACAATTTCTCAATTTCTCAATTTTCCAATTTCCCAATTTCCCAATTTCCCAATTTCTCAATTTCCCAAATTACCAAACTGCCAAATTACCAATTTCCTAATTTTCCCAATTTTCCAATTTCCCAATTTCCCAATTTCCCATTTTCCAATTTCCCAATTTTCCAATTTTCTAATTTCCCAAATTACCAATTTACGAATTTCTCAATTTCCGAATCTCCCAATTTTCCAATTTCCCATATTTCCAAATTACCAACTTCCCCATTTTCCCATTTCCTATCTCCCAATTTTCCAATTTCCCATATTTCCAAATTACCAACTTCCCCATTTTCCCATTTCCTAATTTTCCAATTTTCTTATTACCCAATTTTCCAATTTCCCAATTTCCCAAATTACCAAACTACCAAACTACCAAACTACCAAATTACCAATTTCCTAATTTTCCCAATTTTCCCATTTCCCAATTTCCCAATTTCCCAATTTCCCAATTTCCCATTTTCCAATTTTCTAATTTCCCAATTTTCTAATTTCCCAAATTACCAATTTACGAATTTCTCAATTTCCGAATCTCCCAATTTTCAAATTTCCCATGTTTCCAAATTACCAACTTCCCCATTTTCCAATTTTCTTATTACCCAATTTTCCAATTTCCCAATTTCCCAAATTACCACTTTCCTAATTTTCCAATTTTCCTTTTACCTAATTTTCCAATGTGCCAAATAGCCAATTTTCCAATTTCCCATGTTACCAAAGTACCAATTTCCCCATTTTCCCATTTCCCATTTTCTCAATTTCCCAATTTCCTAATTTTCCAATTTTCTTATTACCCAATTTTCCAATGTGTGATATAACCAATTTCCCAACTTCCCAATTTCGTAGGAGTCACGTGACATCTGGCCCTCCATCTTCCATCTTACCAGTACATACATAACTTAAACTTCATAATTCAAAAAAAAAATAATTTTAAACAAAAATACGTAATACTTCCCCCAAACCTCCTTGCAAATAAACTAAAAAATGTAAAAATTATACTAATTTTGCAACCTAACTTCGTTCTAAAACAGAAACAACCTTGAAAATAATATACCAGTAAATTAATACACGAAGCATTTTGCTTCATTTCAAGTTGAGTACCAACATACTTTGCCTTTAAATCGGGAGTTTTCCCGTATTGTTTTTTGCGACTCGCATGTTCGCACATGTGTGCACACGGAGTGTGTGTTCGAAGCATATCCAACATTAATCCCTTAAGGATAGACGTTCCCAAAAGAAATCAGTCGCCGTAACTTTTTGCCCAGTCAGATTTTCTAAAGCAAACATAGGGCTTTCGCTTAATCCTTATCTGTTTCAGTGTTCACGTTGAAACATTCGCAATTTGAAATTTTGTTATAAATATAACAGCCAGGCAAGACCGTCGTTTATCTCATAGAGAGAAATATTAACATTTTATGGAGATTTTTCTCCGGGTTACTGTTTCCCCAGCGCGTCTCCTACTCTTTCAATATTTATTCGAGTCATCTTCAAAATTGATTTACGAGTCTCGTGCTGCAACCAGAATTGACTCTGTCAAGTAAATTTAGAACGGGATTAAAATTATTTTATCAGACTGCAGTTATGACGATTATTGTATGGAACTCGAGTATTTAGGCGTGATCATTTTTTGCGTTGCTTGAATGAAAATTTCCAATATCAAGTTTAATGGCTTTTACAGATTTTTAAATTTATTTTGAAAGTTTTTGATTATTGGATTTTCAAGGTTTTGAACTTTCAAGGTTGCAGATTTCTAAATTGTTCAATTTTTGAAATTAAAATTCTTCACATTTTTCTGTTTCCAAATTTCCAATTTTCCAATTTTCCAACTTTTCAATTTTTCAATTTTTCAATTTTTCAATTTTCCAATTTTCCAATTTTCCAATATCCTAATTTCTCAAATTACCAATTTCCCAATGCCCTAATTTTCCAGTCATCCAATTTTCCAATTTCTCAAATTACTAATTACCCAATTTCGTAATTTTTTCATTTTCCAATTTCCCAATTTCCCAATTTTCCAATATCCTAATTTCTCAAATTGCCAATTTCCCAATTTCCTAATTTTCCAGTTTTCCAATTTCTCAATTTTCCAACATTTACCAATTTTCCAATTTCTCAAATTACCAATTTCCCAATGCCCTAATTTTCCAATTTCTCAAATTAGTAATTACCCAATTTCGTAATTTTTCAATTTTCCAATTTTCCAATTTTCCAATATCCTAATTTCTCAAATTACCAATTTCCCAATGCCCTAATTTTCCAATTTCTCAAATTAGTAATTACCCAATTTCGTAATTTTTTCATTTTCCAATTTCCCAATTTTCCAATATCCTAATTTCTCAAATTACCAAGTTCCAAATTTCCTAATTTTTCAGTTTCTCAAATTACTAATTACCCAATTTCGTAATTTTTCCATTTTCCAATTTCCCAAATTTCCAATTTTCCAACATCCTAATTTCTCAAATTCCAAATTTTCCAATTTTCCAATTTTCCAATTTCTCAATTTTCCAATTTCTCAAATTACCAATTGTCCAATTTCTCAATTTTGCAATTTTCTAATTTCCCAAATTCCAATATTTCCAAGGTACTAATTTCCCAATTTTCCAAATTTCTATATTTCCAAATCTTCACATCTCCGAATTGCCATAATTTCTATATTCCTAAATTACCAAATTCCCAAAATCCTTAAAATTCCCAAAATTCCAAAAATCTCCGCAATCCCCAAAAACTCCAAAATTCCCGAAATCCCTAAAGTCCCCACAATCTCAAAAATTTCCAAAATCCCCAAAATCTCAAAAATTGCCAAAACCCCCAGAATCTTCGAAATCCCCCAAATTCCCAAATTTTCTAAGTTTTTCAAATTCCTAAACTAGCAACCTTGAACCCCAAATATCAGACTAATCATCAGTCTCATGTCTCCGCAAACAGAAATAAACCTCTGCACACAAAAGTGAAATGTTACACATCAAAGTCACGAGTACGTCAAAATGTCTCTGAATCTCTTCGTTTCACCCGAAATAGCAACACTAGGAAACGCATCTGTTTCACCAACAAGCTTCTGAAATCCAAAAAGTTCCTTGCCGGAAGACACACGTTCAATCAGTTCCTAATCCCTTCAGCACACTCCGCAGTTGAAGCATCTGCACTTTCTTTCTCTCGATGTTCTCAAACATTGTGCCTTCATTACCCCGGCGAGTATTACCGCATCGTTTGTTCGGGTCTTAACCCGCTCTTTACACAATCGCCTTATCTTGCAAGATGATCGAGTTTTATCAAAAAGTCGGAGAAAACGATCCGTCGAATTTTTCGAAGTTATCTTCCGCCATGACACTTTTCCGCGATCAATCAATCGCGTGATCGTAGCAGAATTTTCTCGTCGCGCTATCGCGTCGTTTTTTTCCGCGCCGCGGCATAAATCACACACAGTTCGTTTTCTCGTCGCTAAGAGGTGTACGACAGATTTACGGGATGTGTAAATTACTACAACCGGGATGTTTGCCGAAGCGATTCTCTATCGAATCGTCCCGTCAGTCGCGCGTTTGTGGGAGAACCATTTTTCGCGAGGTTTATTTACAGCCACAGGCTATATAAGTCCTCCGGAAACCAGCTCCGGAGTTCCCAAGATGACGACGATGATCGCTGACCCGACCTGCCGTTTCGACTCGCCGCTACGCTCCGTCGACGAGAAACCGAGCGTGCTGCTCGACTCCGACATCAATAAGATCGTCGAGCGTAAACTCCGTTCGCCTAACTTCCGCGTGTTGCAGTGGAGTTTGGACGACCTCGGCGAGACGAACGGCTTTCTGGGCCAGTATTACACCCTGTCGGTGACCGTGAAGACCGACGATAAATCCAAACGACTCCGCTTCTTCGCGAAAACACCGCCACCCGC